TGATTTTAATTTTTCTATTATTTATTGTTTTTTTCTTTTTTATACATATACATATACCTACCTATATACTGTCTAATACGCCTGTGCTCTGGAGCCTTCACCAGCGGTACCACTCCACTGGTGCAGGATCGAGCGCCGTCTGAAGAGGCAAGGATAAGGATAAGTCCGATATGCGAAGCTGAGCCTCGGCCGGGCTATGGGGGAGCCCGGCCTGTGCCGACTAATGCCGACTCGATCAACGTGTGTCAGCGAGAGCTGACGCGACAGGGCTTAGTCCTTACCCACCGCGGTGCCCAGCCACAGCAGTAACCTCTGGTCGACAATTGCAACTTCTCGCACTTGGGCGGGGCGCGAACCGCCGACCCCTCGAATGAGAGGCCGACACGTTACCACTGTACTAGCCTGGAGGCGTAAGAGGCAAGGGAGAGTAAGCGGTATAAGAGGGAAAGGAGGAGAAGCACTCGGGAACCACGGGGCAGGTGAGGACAGGAGAACGGAAGCGAAGGGAGGTCATATCAGGCGGTCTATGTGACGGGTGGCCGGCATAAGGGAGGAGACGAAGGATGTGGGAAGCGAGGAGGCTGTCGGCAGGAGAGAAACCGCTGTTCAAGTTGAAATTGGGCAGCAGCTTAATCAGAGAAGATTCCACCAGTCTGTGGGCATGGACATCAGCGGAAGGGAAGAGAATGCGTGCTGCTTTCCAGTCCATCTGATGGCCAGTGTCCCACTGATGGCAGAAGAGGGCGTTGTTGCTATGTCCCCTGGATACAGCGTACTTATGCTGAGACAGACGCTTAGTAAGACTGGCGCCTGTTTCACCAAAATACTGCTTATCACAGGAGACACACGGAACAGCATAGGTGCCCACCTTCGAGGTAGATGGAGGGCAGGTGTGAACCAGGTTACGACGGAGTGTATTCACCTGGCGAAAGGAGAGTCTGCAGTTGAGAGACTGCAGGGGCCGACGGAGGGAGTAGATCTCCTCAGTGTAAGGCAGGCTGAGGACAGGCAGGTGAGGAG